CTGCAAAGGGATGTGCTGGAAGCGTGTAGGGCTGCAGCAGTAGAATCACAGGTTTGCCTAAATGGTGACTCAACTGTGGGGCAGTGTTTTCTTAACTTTGCACTTTCAGGTCATGCTTATGTTGAGGGCAAGATGAGTATTTGCTATTCCAACACTGTCGTGCCCCTGTGGCAGTCAAGGACAGATATACATGGGTATGCACATATACAAGGGTATATCCATGGGTGAAGTGCAGGAGCGTCAGGTGCTGGATGTGACTCCTCTCTTTGGCTGTCGTGTGCAGTCTTTGCAAGCAGTAAAGTACGCCGGGTTGTGTGTTGTGACATGCAAACCTCTCTGAAAATGATAAATCTGAAAATGCTCAGAGGTGAACTGCATTCCAGACTGCTGGGTCAGAAAAGAAAAGGAAGGAAGGAAACGAGGTGTCTCTCACCCCTTCTGGGAGTGGCTGCTTACAGCAGATCAAAGTACTTTTATGACAGATATTTCAAGAAAAGCTGCAAAATGCCTTGAGTGCACAGCAGAAAATACACATTACTTCTCCTTGGGTGTTTGGTTTTTTTCTCAATCTTTATAGCAACTGGCTTCACTAGCTTTGGTCTTTAATCCTGCTTCTGATTGTGCACCTTTGTATAGGCAGCTCCACAGCATTTGAATGTGCAAGATTTGTGCAAAGCTTTGCTGCACCATGGTTACTTGTGGTTACTTACAGCATAAGATTGGTCATTACAGTGGCAGCAATGCACCCTCTGCTGGTGTCCATCAATATTTTATTCGAAATCTTCCCCAGGTTAACTATCAAAAAATACTGCTGATGGCAGAGGAAGGGACAATATTTTTCTCTCCATCTTCTCGGATTCTCTCCCAGCAGTGATAACCTAAGGTGTTGAGATGGGATGAAAAACTCTGGGCATGGTGTCAGCTATAAAGTGAAAAACAAAGATGCAACTACCTTCAAGAGGAGGCTGGAAAACACCCTTAGCACGTGGGCTAATGGAAAAATGGGAATTCATGCTAATCAGGGTGTGTGGGTGGAGGATGGCAAAGCATTTGTTATCATCTGGGATGGCTCCTGCCAACAGGTATCTGCCTCAGGCTGAATTTTTGGTAGTGGTTTTTGCAGACCTTTTTCATTCCTCTCAAAACACATACTGAGTAAGATTTGTTTCAGCTTTGCGGAAAACCCTAAATTACAGACAAAATGGGCATTTGAACAATTCTGTGTTTAAATTATGAATATTCAAGTGTTTTTTCTTAATTCTATTTTGTACTTTAGTGAAAATCTGAGGTATTTTCCTTTTTTTAAAATTTTTTTATTCTTTCGAATCTTAAGCCAAACTTGATAAAACCCTTAGAAGCATCAGAAAAACCCTGGAAAATATTATCTGTACTACGTTGTGATAGATGTGATCTGTGACTCAAATGAGCATTAATGAATGGCTGGGCATAATGGCAGTAAATGGGAAATAGGTGAATGCAAGCACAGCCTACACTACCAATCTTGTTTGCAAATTAAAAAACCCATTTTGAGTGTGAAGTAAAATGGGAAAAAATCTCAGTAAGAAGAGACAGCCACTAGAATCAGTGAGGATAACAGAATGATTTCTAGTCCATGAAATAACAACAAATCCATGATATCACAAACAAATATCTTTTAGAAGTAATCTAATAATTTATGTTCTTTATTATGTTTCTATTTTTTTCCAAAAGAAAAGATTCAGATGGATCCTCAGAGGGTCTTTCAGAACAAAAATGACATCTTGTAGATAATAAACTTGTATAAAATTATGTTGCAGGTAATAATGCCTTGGAAGTAAAGCACTCTGCTCTTCAGTAGCTCTTTCATGCCCTCTGCAGTTAAAACTCTGTCATGTGTCTGTGCAAAGTCTGTTTTTCCTCGTTGCAGAATTCAGGACCTAGGGTTAAGGAAAACTATAAAACTTAAACACTGTTGGAAATTTTTTTTGGGTTTCCTGTAGGCTAGGTTGAAACTTTAATTATCCAATCATATTTTACAATCATTACAGTAATGCAGATGATCCTGTGCTTTCACAGTGGTGCCTCTTACACAGAAAGAGTGGAGAGCACAGAAGTAAACAGAAGTGCCCTCCTGTGTGAGATCTTTGCTGGTTTCTCTACATGCAGGCCTCCATCTCCACTCAGGTCTGGAATTTCATGCATATGTGCTGTCAGGTGGAAGTTATGCACAGATGACTGTATAAAGTACTTAAAAGTAACTATGAGTCTCATCATTACATGTACCTTTTTTAGCGTTCCTTTCAGAAATTGTTGATATTTTTTCATAGAATCATTTGAAGTGATTCATCCTACCCAAAACAGTTATAAAAGCAGGTGAGAAAAATGTCTTATTTCAATTGATTGTACCTGGATTACATTCAACTAATTTCAAAGACATATCTCGATTTTGGACATACAAAATTGTGAAATAGTGCACCATGGCCCTTCTATTTACATTTGAAGAGAAATGTGCAAGAGTGCATAAAAATTTCATCAGATGAAAGAAGAAATGGTCAGAAGAAATGGTGCCAAAGGTCAGTCCTGAAGTATCTAGAACAGGACTCTTGGGGAGGAAAGAATAAATATGATATAATTAGGTGAAAGAATTAATAACAATAACAATGGCAGTAATAATATTAATAATGATTAAAGGAATTAAAAGATGCAAAAGTCAGAAATGCTGAGAAGGTGATATGCTATTTAAAACATCAAAGATATCTAATTTTAACACCAATGACATTTTCAAGAGTGACTGCTGGTAACTGATTCTGGCTTGGGCTTCCACTATATACTAGGACAGGTCCAAAAAGGTATATTTTATATATGTAATTGAAAAAAGAATAACTACTGCAAGCTCTCTGGGCCATGGCTCTCACTGTCACTGCTGTGTTCATTAGTAGAAACAAAATTTGAACTCAGACATTTGTCTAATGAAAGTATCTCTGAAGAAACTAACATATTGCTATACTCTGAATGCATTACTTTGGATTCCTGATCTGCACTGAGACATTAATTTGCCAGCCACTTTTAAAACCATGACTGTTCTCCAAGGAATTCCACACCCTAAATTAAGCACCCAAGGAGTGAGCTGGGCACAGATGCTGTAAGGAGGCTGGGGAAGGCCAAGAACCCAGGCACTGCTTGAGGAAACACGAAGCTGCAGAATGGTGAGGCCAATGCCACATCACAGAGACCCCTTAGGCCCCACTGTGTCTTGCTGCCCTCTTTTCTCCCCATTAAAGAGGAAAATGAGTATTGTGCACACAGTCCCATGTTTCAATAAAGACCAAGGAATCTGATTTCCTGGCCATTAGTCCTGCTTAGGTAAAATGAGCAGGTTGGTAAACTTCACTATGCTTCAACCTCTCCCTCTATGCAATATGAATAATGGCTATTTCACAGCAGCATTTCTTACAGTGAATTCATATTTATGAAGTATTCTGTAAATTGAAAACCATAAATGCTTGAAGGAGCTGTCTTGTAAAATTTATTGCTGCTGAGATAATACTCAAGTGCTGAAAACAATTCTGTGTATTAGGGAAGCCTTGATTAACCAGTTGAACCATGGAAAATCTTGTTTTGCCTGCATTCATTTTTCAGCTCTAGAGATAATAGGTGGTATTACTCATGTACCTGAAATATAGGCAAGAACCTTGGAAAACAGAATTTATCAGTGTATTAAATTTAATCAGCCATGTTTCTCATTTGACTCATTTGATGTTATGCAGTAGATTTACGAATGCTCATCCCTGTTTATGTTGTTTACCACACCATGACTTGAGCTGAAATCCTTCTTGGACAGAACCATTGACACTATGCTGTTAAGAACTGGTGTTTTTTGGAATCATTTAATAGAGAACTGGGCTTCCAACTTGTGTGTGCAGCGCTAGGGGATCCAGCTAGTGCTGGCCCATCTGTGTGTAACCCTGCCAGCCCAGGCTGTGCCACCACAGACAGGTGGGGCTGGCTGGGGGACCTGAGGAGAGGGCTGGGGACAGGCAGCTCTTTGGCATTCCAGGCAGAGCCTTCTTGATCTCTGCACAGACTCTGCTGCAGGTACATTGCACCCTCAGCCCAACCTGGATGCTGGCTCAGCCCCTACCAGGCCTGGGGATGGTGGCTGAGCTCAGGACCACGCTCCCCCCAGGGACTGTCAGTGGGAAACATCCCAACATACCCACATCCCTCCTCACTGCTGACTGCTCTCTGCCTTGGGCTGAGGCCGGCATTTGGTAGGATGAGGAAGACACAACATTTGGGAATATTCCACCTGAATGAATTTTTGGGAAGAAAAGTTGAAGTGATCTGTGGAAGCAAATCAGAATAAGTCAGGGTTTTTAGCTCATTTAAAATACATAGGCTCCAGTCAATTCGCAAAGCCATAGCTCAGCATTTCTGTGCTGGCTTTGGAGGAGAGCAGATCAGGCTCTTGTCCCCATCTTGCAGCCGTCCTCTGCCAAGTGGCAGACGACAACCATCTTCTTCTTCTGAGACACTGGAGCAAGCTGCAGGCAGCTGAAGGAAGCTGGACAACTCTGGAGTCTTTGTGAAAGATATTCAGCCAGGAAGATTACTCCACTGGCAAGATGTGGCATTAAACAACAGAATATTCCTCCCATGGGGCAATACACTATTATAAGGAAATGCAGTTTAATACAAAAAACCCCAAACAAAGCAAAGCACTTGAAACAAGCTGCACTTAGATGCCAAACTGTTTTACTTTGATTGAAAATACTCAGATGTTTCAAAATTTCCTTTTTCTCTCCCTACGTATAGTAAGAAAAAAAAAAAAAAACCAAAAAAACCAGCCATTTTCTGGCTTTCATGTAGGTTGATGATATTCAAATGTAAGACTTCATGGAGGGACCAAAAGATCATCTGTGTCCTTCAGCTTTGCCACAGAGTAGTGGTGAGAGAGATGATAGAGAGGTGTGTTGGAGGCAGCAGTGCAGGAGGAGGGGGCTGTACCACAAAGGGAGGGACGGAGAAAACAGCATCTGTGGACACACCTGTGTGAGAGCCGCAAAGAAACGGGCTGAATCCCTAAAATACTGAGCAAGAGAAGGTAAGCGGTGATGAGGTGAAGGTTGCTCCTGCGGCAATCGTACAGCCGTGGGTGGGGGGTGGCGATGCGGGGAGCTCGGGGCTGTCCCTGCAGGGGGAGTCCAACACCAGCGATGCGGAGCGGGCGGCGCTGGGCGCGCCTCGGCAGCTCAACCCCGTTAGCTGCGGTGCGGGAAAGGCTGGGCGATGGCTTTAGCCAGCGCAAAGTACTCTATGATATTATGAGGTGGATGAGCCTGTGCGGGGAAAGGGCATCTTCCTGGCATGTTCCGAGGTTCAGGCTGTGGATTTCCAGCTAAGGAAGGACAGCTTAAAATCTCTGCCCTCTGATGTAGTCTGTTCATCCCAGGCTCACAGGAACCTCCATCAAACTTAAGCTGTATTAAAACTTAAAGTTTACAAGAACAAAGTATATTGTTCAACAAACCCTGCACAGAATTTTTTAAAATTACATTTGTAATTTGTAATTCATGATCTTAAAAATAATGTAATGCAATCACATATTAGTGGCTAAGGACAGAATCAGCAAAGGCTGAAGATGAATATCTGTTCCATACCAAAGTACGTATCCTCTGGTTCTCACTTGCCCTCTTTCTTTAGGATAGTGTGTGCAGGAGGTGTGGGCTCTTCCCAAGTGGGTCCAGAGCAGTTTTGTGAATGACAATCTAGAGCCAAGGGAGCTGCACCTGGTATGTAGTTTGGGAAAACAATTACCAGCTCCTCAACGACTGCCAGAGCCAAGCAGGGTTTGAGGGAGCTGCAATAGCTCCCTGTGATCTCTGTCTGGCAGACACTGAAAGTACACACACATGCACAAAGGCACGTTCAGAATTGCACCTGCACGCCAGTTAATTTATAGGCCCAGTGTTTAAGCCAGGGCCAGTCAGTGCTATTCTCGGTTGTCATCAATCTCTGTATTCTTTTGCACTGTTTGTTGTATCCACTTATTTTAGGCACTAGTGCTAGAGGTGTAGTTTGTAAGTGCCTCACCTCACCCCAGCTCAGAGAAGATTCGTAGCTCCAAGTAGTTGGACTCCTTTGCTCAATGTCAAAATTGTCTAAAGACCATTTACATGTAAGATGTTTGAATATCCTGTACATACCAGATCTTTTTACATACTTGATCCAACTTAAGTGCTGTTATCAGTGCAATATACTTAGACAATATTCTGTCTGTATCAGCTTGCTGTATTCTTGATCTTTCTCATTAGATTAAATACTAGTGCTAATAAATGACAGATTGCCTTTATCTGTGGGCACATCACACTTTTCATACAGACTTTTTAAAGATTTCACATATTTTATCCAGGCAGCTCTTTCCAATTATTCTGATCCATTTGAGACAGAGATCAAAGTTTTCCACTAGTTACTGTTAGCATTAGCTTAAACAACTACACAATAAAAATTAATTTTCAGTGGTTCATATGTAACATTTTGCATGGGAAGGTCCCCAAGTACTTTACAAACATTCATTAGAGGTTTATAGGTGACAGCAAGCAATGTGTAATAGCCAGGAAGAGCTATTCCTATTTTGCTGAGAGACAAAATTTCTGAGTCTTGATTTACCCCTAGCCTTGACAGCAAGATAGTGAAATTGCACTTCTTGACAGCAGCACACCATCAAGAATTGATGCTGCCTCTGCCCCCAACTTTCCTTAAAACGTGACCCATCCCCATAATAGCTCACTGGCTGTTTCTATGGAAGACTGTGACAATCCAGCTGTTTTAAAGGATTTAGCTAGGTGTTGCATAAGAAACTAACACAACAAATTTTGGTTCGCAGGTACTTTAACTAAAATCCAGTGTCCACACTGAAGATCAGGAGCTTACTCCAGGTACAACTGCAAAGCACCACATGGTTTAACTATCTCTTTCTGTATGCTACTCATAGAAAGAGAAAACAGCTGTTGAAATTGCAACTCTTCCTTGTACTTTCAGACACAGACAGTCCAGTGAAGCTCCCCTGAAGTTGGCAGTTTTGACCACCTGGAATCAAGTAAACAAATTGCTCATGGAGTGCCACTGGTCTCCACGCTAATACAAGGCATATTGAAAGCAACTGAGGAATCTCAGCTGTCTGTGGGAAAGACCAAAAAGGGTATAATTTCATTTAATGGTTGCAAAAATGAGAAAAATAAATGGAAGTAGGAAAAAACATGCCTAGATATCCCCCACAGTATCCTTGTGGTCCAGCCATACTTTACAAGGTGCTGCTTCTGAAGATTGTAAACATTATCCCCCCAAAAAAATCAGCTTCCTGTGCATTGCACAGGGCTTGCACTTACAAGCACTGCTTTCTGCAAATCTTACCATCTCACCTGCAACACAGGTCTGGCATGACTGTGTTAATTTGATTCTTCTATTAGCCTGGCTTGTGTTACTTGTGATTCCTCTGCAATATATTCCTTTTCATGGTACAGAAGGAGAACGAGCAGATACCAACAAAAATGAAATGTCTCAGGAGAGTCCTTGTGGGGAAGTAATTTAGAAGGACATTGATACAGTGAGTAACTGTGGATTTTCTCCTCAGGAAAAGAGGTTCAATCCATTCCTTAAAAATACATAAAATAGTTTGAGAGGAGTATTGATTTCTGACCAATTTTTCCTCTTTGGAACAATCCAAACTCCTTAAACGTTGCCAAATTCTTCAGGTCCTAAAAGATAACAAGAGCAGAAGTTTTGACAAATTATCCAAGGTACTTTATCAGATTTCTCCTGAGGAATGGAGGCCAAGAAACTATATAGCTCAGTAGTCACCACAAAAAAACATTGCACTCTTATCTTCTGAGGTGGAACAGGATTTAAGTCACACGTACAACCTGTGGTAATCTCCAAGCAAGTTACTATAAGGACAATTCTTAAGATAAATGCTCTTGTGTTGTTTTGGTTATATTGCCACACTGTAGAGATTTCTATCCTTTAGTGTGCAGTTCAGGGGTAGAAACCAAAGCAGCTTCAGGGAGGGGCAGAACTGGGAGCCCACTGCCAGCACGTACCACTGCACACACATCTCAGAATGGTCAAACCTTCTGGCAGCTCCTGGTCAGGCTCCTTTCCAGACTGTATCTCAGCCTGGCCAATCTCCCTTCTGCTACACCAGCTGCAAAGCTTCTCTTCACTTCATAGGCAGCTATTGTCAGCCCCAAATCCAACATCTCCAGCCCCATATTATCATGAGCTTCACATGTGCTTTTCCAGTGGAAGTCCTCTTTCCTACTTTGGATTATTATTTCCATGTATTCTTTGAACTGAAAAATCTCATTGACCCTGGTTTCCAAAGGAGACCAGAAATCTCTTATATCCCTCTTCTGTTTCCTAGAACAGTGCTACCTACACCCTTTCTTTTTTTCCTCTCCTGCTCCATAATATCAGAGACAAAGCTTTTCTTCTCATTTTTTAAGTACTATCTTCTTCTTCCTGGTACAGCCACTAACTTATCAACTGCACATGGAAAAGGCCCTCAAGTACAGGGTGCTCTGAAACTCTGTGCTGCTCTATTGTCAGCAGAAGTCTGTTATGATGTTGACAGAGAGATCAACAGCTGCTGTTATAATTCAGAAATATTGAGTTTTAGAGCCAAATCTTCATGGAAAAAAATTTGCTCAAAGGTTGCCTATATTGTATATATATCATTGCATTATATCTATCAATAAATAAAATCTATAATCTATATATAAAAAGTGTCTGGATGCAAATGTATGCATATATATATTTGTTTGCATTTTAATGTCCATAGGCCTAGGAGAAACACATGTAAACAATATGCAGTTTGTAGAACAAGAATAGAACCTGTCAATATTTAAGATGTTAATGTTTAAAACCAGACTGCAGCTAAGTAATAAAAGAGGCACCTTCATCAGACGTGTTCACAAATATAATGATAACCTAAGTCTGATTAAGCCAGATGTCAAACATGAAAGAGCAGGCAGGAAGCTTCAGGAGGCTGAGAACAAACATGAAGAGAAGGATCTGAAAGGCCATGATGAGTGAACTATGTTGAAAATGAGATGGTTAAACCTGAGTCACACTGAATAAGCTGCAGTTTCTTATTTGAATGCACTGTGGGTGGACCAACACAAAATGTTTACTCTCAAGACTTGGCAGACTGTTATCTTTCACCTAAGAACAACTTGCTGAGGCATTTAAAAACAGTACTGAACACTTAGGAGGCAAAGTTGGCAAACTTTGGCGCATTTTTCCCCAGTATTAGTTTTTTTTTTCCTCTCTCACTAGTCCCTAATGCTGTCATAGTGTTTGCAAAATGAAGAGGTGTGTGGTGTGGTATGGAACAGTACTATATTATGAAGTCTTTTTTAAAGTTTTATAAGATCTAGAAAGCCATATCCAGGTACAGTAGCAGACAGCTACATGGCTCTGAAGAGCTCTTCCTCTGTACCCCAATATATGCTAAAAAGCCTATTTATCATATAAAACACTTCCTCTCTATTCCTTTCCATTCATTTATGTAACTCTATAAAATGACAAAGATTTCAATTAATATTAAATATGTTTTAGCAGAACTGCAAAGTATAGGACAGTTTGACTTAATGAAGCTTTATTAGCTTGATTAGGGGCTTTCTATGTACCTATATGGGGGACTCAATCCAGAACCCCACCTAAGGCAGTGGGAACACTTTCCAGGTTGTTAAAGGGTAGCAGAGCTGTTCAAAAGGTGAGTGAGATTATTAGCCTCAAATTTAATGCTCCTGTGCAGATAAACTTTGATTTTCAGTCCTACTCTTACGATGAGGAAAAGTCGTCACTTAGGACAAAGTGCCTTGTTCAGTTGATTAAGTTTCAAAGAAGGAATCCTTTCTGTTTAAACTAACTCAGTATTTCTCATGTACACTTCCAAATGATTCTTTGCCCCTGTCTTCCCCCACAGGTTTGGTTGGCAGGAGGCACTGCAGACCCCTCTTAGCACAGGTGGTGCGACCCCAGCCTCCTTTGGTTGGCAGGAGCCACATTTGCTGCCATGCTGTGCTGTGGCCACTACAAGGAAAATGCTCTCCTGAGAGATTTTAGCTTAAGGGGAACAGAGGGGAAAGCTGTGCACAAATGGGGACACGGAAAGGCAGGAAGAAAACAAGAAAATACTGAAAACTTCTAAGTGAACTTACAGAAACCACAGAACATGTTAATTTCAAATGGTGGGCTCTGAAATCTAATTCATTCACCTCCTTGGTAGTTATTATGCTGTCACCATAATTTAGATAATGAGTGAATATCATTTTTCAGCATTTGTCTTAATGGTCTTGTCCCATTTGCTGAATCCTCTTTTTGTACATAATAATTGATAATAGGATCTGCATTTGAAATGATTGGAGAACTCTTTATGTTACTAAAATAACTTTATATTACTTAAATAGTATTATTTTGCAAGTATGTTTTCCTTAGACTCATCCTGACATATTTTAAATCTAATCTGAGGTCTGGATGAAAATATTTAAGCCCCCTCCCCAGCTATCTCCCACTGCCAAACTGGACAATCTTCATCTGGTTTTAGGAGTTCAACTTTTTCACATACCACTAATTAATTCTAGTAATTAATCAATAAAAGTTCCTCTCACTGCTTATATCACCTTATATCTTATTTTTCTGCCTTATATCTTATTTTCTACCTCTCACTCTACCTTATATCTATTACTAATTTCTATCAAAAATAGTCTAATGGAATGATCTGTCACAGACTACTAATTGAAGATGGTTCATTGAGTCTAGAACACGGAACACCAAAGGCCTTGCATTTCTCAAAGTCTGAGCAGCAGAAAGTCAAGGTGGAAAAGTCACTGGCTTCACAGTTTTGTGCATCAGAGCTTACTCCCAACTGTCTGGAAACTCTTCAAGTCCTGGCCCTTGGTTCTGCTTTTTATCCCCAGTGCCTGGGAGCAAAGAGCTTGAAAGTGTTTGGCTCAGACAAAGCCTTCCATGGCACTGGAAGCTGGCTGGGTCAGGAATTCCTGCCAGGTTGCAGGTTCTGACCCGATGAGCCAGCACATCTATTAGTGAAAGTGATGTTTTTCTTAGTTGTATAGTTAAAAGAATGGCTTAAGCCAAATGAGAAACTTCTTTAAGGTACACCCCCTCTGTAATTCTTTCTAATGCAATTTTTCATAATATATGACTCAAGAGAAATTTGAAAAATAATAATTCATTTGTATTTGAACTGGATCCAAGTTCTTGAAAAGTCTTGCAAAGGCAGAATCCTGGATTTTGGCCATTTCTTTCTGGGTGGTAAGCAATAATCAAATTAATGATTTCAAATTAGTTAAAAATCATCTTGAACCAAAACCAGCACAATTACAAGCAGATGGATAAACAAGGACAATGGGAATCCACAATTTAACTGGCAGCTAGTTATTTTAAAACACCTCTGATAAAGGAAAAACTAACAAAAATATTTTTAGGGTGTATTCAGTGGGGCAATGTGATTACATTAGCTAGAGGCTGTGAGATCCACCCCATCAGTGACACTACTGCAGGCACTCAGTTGCCCAATACCTTCCAGAACAATCACAGAAACAAAACCCTATCCAGTCGTAATTGCAGAGGAGAGCCTTGAAAATAATTTCAGAACTTTATGATTTCTGCTTTTTTACAAAGAAAATTGTCTGTGACACAAAAAAACCCCAAACCCACAGCCCTGTCTCCAAAAGTGGTAGACTCTGACTCTCCTTAAAATAATGTCGCACTGCTGAGACTTGTCCAGGCCTATGGATGAGCAGCTGAGACATGCTCAGCGTGTTCCCAGGAACTGAGGCAAATGAATATAGGGCAGACAGCTCTGCTCTAGTAAACACTGTTATCCTTCACAACCATGTGTCTGCTTACAAATGGTCTTTTGGGAATGGTTCTGGAAATCCCCTGCTTCTGATTTGTGCCTGGGAGTGGTTTGAAGGGTAGTTGGCAGCAGCCTTGAGGGATGTCTAACTCTTTAACACCATAGATGATCATAATTCAATGCCCAGGACTGTTCCCAGGCCCTGTTTATTTCACAAGGATATATGCAGACTGAGAAGAAAATTAAAATGAAATATTTGGTTTGTTGAGTATAGAACTGTCATGTTCTACAGGACATCTATTACAGAGATGGATTAAACCAATGTAATACTATTGCCTGGTGCAGAACTAACCACTAAACTCACAGAAGAATGCTTTTAGCAGTATTTGTATTACTTCAGCAAATCAGCTTGTATTCAGGCATACTCCAGCACTTTGAAGTTGCAATCTTAATTTTGC